AGGCAGTTCTCCCCCGGGAAGTTCGCCACCAAGTAGCTCATCACCAAGGCACGTCACCACCAGGTCAAACACGAGGTACTTAGCCAAAAAATTTTACACATCCCAAAAAATAGTACGTGACCAAAAACGGTTACACCAAATGCTATGGTCAATTCATATTTTATAATTCTAACATTATATACCAACAAAAAATGCTGCCTTTGTTACTAAGTGATGTTTGATAAAAAGGATGGATTCATCTTGTAGATTAATTGTTCGTCAAAAAAGCTAGGAGATAAAAAAGAAATGTTATGTAAAAGTGCCTTCAAGAATTTGTAGTTTGTCAGACTCGGACATGAGGCCAACACAAAACATCATCCACTTAGGAGAGCCCATGCAACACTGCTAAATCTCTACCGAAAAAACAAAACCTGAGTTCCCAATACATGATCACAAACCAACGAATCAATGTTTGAACACACAAATCCCCAAAAAGTTAAACCTACATCAAACTTATCAGAAAAAAGTTAAACCTACATCAATAAACATCTGATTCCTTTTTACTCCTTTTTGAAAAGCAACACAATTCGATTAGTAGTAGAAGGAAAATTACATCACAAGTATATAATCACATTAAAGCCTTTTCAATACATAATTATTTTATCATTATTCTTTGCATGTCATACTTTTTTCATCTCTTAAAGAAAATAGTGTCATAAACCAGGACAAATCTGACAAGGAAAAAACAAAGAAGTGCAAGAGATCAATGTATTCACCTTCCCTTGAATTGAATCAAACTCAATTGCAGGGGGAGATGGAAGAACTCTCCTGTAAAACCCTGAAAATAACAAGAACAATGCATATAGAGGGTATAGGCCATGACTAGTTACAAGAAAAATACAGGAAATTTCAAATATCACTAAGAATGAATGTGAACTTCACACCCTCGTTTGAAGAAGGTGACCTAGTCCGCATTTGAGTGCATTTCACCGTTTGAAGGACTGCAGCTGTCCTGTATACCACAAAAACTTTATTTCTAAAAAATAATTTTATCATAAATATTTTCAATCTTCAATAAAAAATGGAATGAGAGATGAATTAATCATCATACTTAACTAACCGTACTTTAGCCGACCCCATATAGTTGGGATAAGGCTTGGATGATGATGACATTATTAACCGTATTTGCTTGGAAACTGGACTACCTATTAAACCACCTGCAATCATCATATGAAGTTAATAAAGATCCAAGAAGATGAAAACAACCACGTCCACATAGTCAGAAGTAACACAGACAATAAAACATATACATGATGATTACCCGTAAAAATATGGTTGCCGAAGCTCCATAAATGTTTTGATATCCTTTCAATAAGTAATATCTCTGTATGGATGACAGTAAAAGAAAAGGAGAAAGAAAAATGAGATACAGCAAAGCAACACTTATATCACACCAATACAAAGTATCAAACTTAACAGAAGAATATGCATGCATTAACTAACCTCGGATTCGAACTTGAAATGCGTTGTACAAATCGCCGACGACATTCTTTGGACCCTCGACATTAACGTTGCAAGAAGATCAAAGAAATAAATTCCTACAGCAATATGATCTTCTATATGTTTCTTTTGTTACAGGAATTGTTTTATACGTAATAGCGGAGGAGTCTCACACTCCGACGACAATTTAAAAGCCCCCTACTTTCCGTAATTCTGACACTCCGATGACAATCGTAAAAGACCCTCCTTTCCCTAATAGCGGAGGAGTCTGACACTCCGATGACTATCGTAAAAGATCCTCCTTTCCGTAATATTCGAAATCGAATTGCAAATTTGCAACAACTTATCCTTTAGTTACTACTTAGAACGGACCCGTGGACCCGTGCGAGCAAAATCTATATTTATATTTATATCTATATTATTATTTATAAAAGAACGAATGAATGAATGAAGGCAGAGTGGCTTACTCCTAATTTCAAACTTTCAACGGCAATGACATAAAGGGTAAAGATGTCTTTTTCCAATATCTTTTTCAATGCATTATTAAGAAGAAAGAAGACAGGCTTCATGCCTTCATACATGAGCTATTTTGCATTATTGTAAAACCGATTTTTTTTTCATTGGATTAAGAATACCCCTATTTTAAATTTTGAATGCCAAATATATCTTTTTCAATATCTTCTTCAATGAATTCTTACGAATTAAGACAGGTTCTTGCATTCTTGCAAAACTGAAATTGTTTTACTGCATTAAAATCAAATCCTTAGGCTCAGTTTGGAAGCAGTACAAAATGCAAATATGTACAGCGTAAATGTATACAAAATATATGGTTTTGCATTCTACATATTTGCATTTGTATTCCTTCTAAACTCAGCCTTATAATCATTTTGTTGTAATCGAAGTGGAAGATTTTGCAGATTTGCAGGCATTGAAAGAAAGAATAATTCTATTCTTACAACCATTGAATTGAAGAGAAGATTTGGCACATTTGCAATCTCTCGAAAAAGATATTCTAAAAGGCAATGTGTCAAGCTGGCACGTCTCTCCTTATAGGAAAGACCATTATAATTTTATGTTTTTTTTTTTTTTTTTATTTCGTTTTTCTAAATCCACGTAATAACATCCAAACCAATCAAATGAGTTTGCAATAAAAGTTTTTGCATGAGACATTTGCCATTCCGATGCATCTCCCACTATCAAGAATATGTATTTTGAATGTCTTTCCAGCTTCTTCGGTAGTTTGTGAATGAGTTTGCAATGCCTTCGTTGTTCAATAATCTGAAAACATTGGAGATAAGTTTTGGATAGGTTTACGGATCGGTAATCTGAGAACGTTGGAGATAAGTTTCAGGGTTAGTTTTTTTTTTTTCTGCATCGGTTTTCCATTTATCAGAACGTTGGTATTTTTTTCCATTTATGAGATAAGTTTTAAATTTTTTTGTGTTGGTTTTTCATTTTTAGCTTTGACTTCTTCCTTAGATTTTCAACTACGCATTCGGTAATAGAGAAGAAACACTTTGTTCAAGTCAGTTCAACTGCGCCTTCTTCCTTGGATTTTTAACGCGTATAAACAGGTACGGTTATACTTCGATCAAGTCGGTTCTGTCATTTCCTATTGCAGATGAACCCAAACCAACTCACTAGATGCCAAAAATATGGGAGAAAACGAAAAAAGCGAAAAAAATGGTAAAGAACAGAACCGGGTTATCGTAGGACCCGTTTTACCGTGCGGGTGAAGAAGACGATCTAATTAGGTCGTCCTCGACCCGCTTTCGAAAATCCTGTTCGAATAATAGTGCGGGTTTTTGTAAAGCAATCCGTGTATTACACGGGCAATGCAATTCGTGGGCGTAGGATCCACAACCCGTGTAGTACAGGGTAGAGCAATCCGTGTAGTTCACGGGTTGCATAATAATAATAATAATAAATACAACATTTTATTAATTAACCATATTGTCAATAAATATAGTATTTTAATTAACTAACAATAACTATAATTTAAGCTATAAATAACAAAAAATTACATTTAATTTAACAGTAATTATAATTTATTTCATTTAACAGTAACTACATTTAGTTTAAATAATTAAATTCATCATTCTACTAACTAACCGTATTTTAAATAATTGCAGTATTTTTAAATAATAATGTATTTACTAAAAATATCAATTAATTAATAGTAATTATTTTTAAACAGTAATTAATAGTAATTATAATTTAAGTTATAAATAGCAGAAAATTACATTTAATTTCCAGAAATTATTGTATTTATTAATTAACAGTATTTAAGAGTAATTATCAATTAAATACAGTAGCTTAATAATTACAGTATTTATTGAAAAACAGTATTAATGATTATGTTATTTTTAAAAAAAATTACATTTAACAGTAATTATAATTTAAGGTATAAATAGCAGAAAACTACATTTAATTTCTAGAAATGACAGTATTTATTAATTAACGGTATTTTAACAGTAATTATAACTTAATTACTTTATTTCCATATAATTACATTTAAATAATTACTTTACTTTAAATAAATACAGTAGTTTAATAATTACCTTATTTCAAATAATTAATTTATTTCCAGAAATTACTTTATTTTAAATAAATACAGTATTTGAATAATTAAAGTATTTATTGAAAAACAATATTAATAATTACACTATTTTAAAAAAAAATTACATTTAGTTACCATAAATAAATTTAACAATAATTAATGAACAGTAACATAATTAACAATAATGAACAGTAATTATAAATTAAGCTATAAATAGCAAAAAAATACATTTAATTTTTAGAAATTGAGGTATTTATTAATTAATAGTATTTAGGCTATGTTTGGTGATTAAGCTCCTATTTGATTTCACTTCTAAAAAGTACTTATTTTAATAAGTACTTCTTTTAAGAGGTAGGACCACACATTAAGTGGTTATTAAGTGCTTTTATGTGTTTGATAAAAAAGTGGTGAAGAAGTACTTCTTAAAAAAAATGACTTTTTAAAGTTGGTTTTTTTTTTCAACACTTCTTGGAGAAGTACTTCTTCCAATAGAATGGGACGAATTAGTCCCTGGTATTTTTTAATTCCCAAAATACCCCCCATGTGAAGCTTTTACCTCCCTCTCCTCTCATTCGAACATAACAAACTAGGTAGCGGCACACCCAGTTATAAGTCCATCGGCGACAATTGGATGAGGAAAAATGGCTGAAGGGCTGTCGTTTTTCAATTTTCTAACATTTTGTGAAGTTTTTCTTCATATTAAGCCATTTTTCTTGGATTCTTTTAAATTTGAAATCCCCTGTTTGATGTGCTTATAGATCTGCAATTTAGAAGAGTTTAATGATGACAATATCACCGTCTAGGGCGACAAGGAGGTTAGTTCTCCCAAATTCTCCCCTCCATGTTTGGTGTTTTTTTTTGGTTTTTTTTTTGTATGATTATTTGTCTGATTCGAAACTATTTTGATTTCATATGAGAAATCCAATGTTTTTTTTGTTAAAAATCATGCAAAAAAATTGCTAAAATTGGATGAATATTTGGTTGCATTTTGATATTTGAATATTTCTAATGTTTTATTTTTTTAACTTCTCATTAATTTTTCGTTAAATCTGAAATATTTACTTGTTTTTTTTTTGGCTAAATTTCTTAAACTACCCTTATGGTTTAACTAATTGACTAAGTGTACCCTTACAGTTTGAAAATTGACTAATGCTATCCTTGCTGTTTTTGACAATTGACTAATACTTCCCTTATTGTTAATATTCCGTCAAAAACCATTCAAATGTGTATTACATGACTGCTAAACTTTCAAAAATACCCAACTTGCCCTTATTATAACTTTCAACATCGGCTCCAATGGAGTATCTCATTGTCCCCTCTGGCACCAGCGCTGGCATCTTCGAAATAGCGTCTCTGGCACTAGTACCTAGACTTGTTCATGGGCCAGGCCGGGTCGGGCTCGGGTCAGGCTTTCACTTGTCATTAAGGGAAATATGCTAGGTCCGAGCCCGAGCCCGGCCCGACCAACGGGCCTATAATTTGGGCCCAAGTTCGGCCCTGATAAAAAGCCCGAAGCTCGAGCCCGAGCCCAAGCCCGAAACCCGACCTAATAAAAAAAAACAATTTTTCCTATTCAAATTAGAATTAAAAATTCAGATAGTTTTTTTTTCCTATTTAAATGAACAATGGGCATATAAGATGGTTTTTTTCCCCTTTCTTTTATATTTTAAAACAAAGTTTTACATTCTTAAATCAAAAAAATTATTCAAATGGACATAATCACATTACTCACTTTAAGTCTAATATTAGGTCAGGCCGGGCTATTTTGACAAAACCCGAGCCTGACTCGAATTTATTGCAGGCCGGGCTTTTTGGCCCGAATTTAAACCCGCCGGCTCATAACCACGTTCAAGCCCGTCTGGGGCCGGGCCGGCCCGTCGGACCACCCGGCCCATGAACAGGTCTACCGGTACCATGCCGGAGACGCTCTCTCTTTTCCTAGAAAAATAAAGCCTCTGAACCCTCTTCTTCTTTCTTATCTTCTCTCTCTCTTCTTCTTCTTCATCTTCGTCTCCTTCTCCTCATCATCGGTGATTTCTTGCCATTTTCTTGGAGGTGTTCCTCCATCGCCACTGTATCACGAGTTCTCAAAACCCATCGCTTAGTCCCAGCAAAACCCATTGCCCAGTCCTAATCATTTTCTCAAACCGAGCCCAGGCGACGAAGCAGCTATTAGCTAAGGAGTGGGTGCCAGTACCGAAACCAGCACTCACAGCTTTTGGACCCTTCTAACCATCTGATTTCGCTGCTCCATCTCTCTCCAGGCGACGAAGCAGCTATCGACTAAGGAGCAGGTGCCACTACTGAAACTAGCAATAACAAGGTCTTTTGAGCTCCTACAAATTCCGATGAGGTAGTGTTCCTATTTCCGGCGAAGTGGTGTTCCATGAGTTCTGATGCAACTATTTTTACATTCCATCCCTCTGCTCGCCACCTAATCAATGAACCTCAGTCGTTCAATTGCAAGGCCGGCAACTACGGGGGACTAAATTCTCCGTCTTTAAATCTCCATCGTTGCAGAGAGAGACCGTCTTTAAATCTCCATCGGCGAAGTGGTGTTCCATGAGTTCCCTGTTGCTTCTTTTTCACCAACGGCGCAGATGGAATTGCCGCAAACATTGCTGCTTGCTACCGTCTGTTTCAAGGCCAACGTTGGTGAAACAAATCTCCTCGAAACAGTGTCGATCTCACCTATCCTTCAACCATCTATGCCGGTCTGTTTCAAAGTCTGTAACTTCCGATCTCCCCTGTTTCATCGCCCCCTCCACCTCTGTCTCTCTCCGGTCTCTCTCTTTCTCTCTCCATTCTCAGACCTCCCCCTCCGCCTCTGGTCTCTCTCTCTCTCTTCTTTCTCCGTTCTCAGACCTCTCCCTCTACCTCTATCTCTCTCTGGTCACTCTCTCTCAACCTCTACTCTACGGTCTCTCTTAACCTCCGTTCTTAGACTTCCCTCCCCACTCTCCGATCTTTCAGTAAATCATTCTGGAATTTCAATTTTGATTGGGCTCCATTGAAATGGATTCCTGTTGCATGTTTAAGTTGTTTTATTTTGAAATTTCTCTCTCTCTCTTCTCCATTCTCAAACCTCTCCCTCTACCTCTATCTCTGGTCTTTTTCTCTCAACCTCTGCTCTACAGTGTCTCTTAACCTCCGTTCTCAGACCTCCCTCTCCACTCTCCGGTCTTTCAATAAATTATTCTGGAATTTCAATTTTGATTGGGCTCCATTGAAAGGGATTCTTGTTGCATGTTTAAGTTGTTTTATTTTAAAAAATTGAGAAGAATAAAGGGTAAAATAGTCTTTTTCGTCTTTCTGCTGACGGGCGCTGGTGGCAAGGGAAGTATTAGTCAATTGTCAGAAACAGTAGGGGTAGTGTTAGTCAATTTTCAAATAGTAAGGGTACACTTAGTCTATTAGCTAAACCATAAGGGTAATTTAAGAAATTTATCCTTTTTTTGTATTGTCTATGTGATAGATTCCTATACATGAATAGATTTTTTTTTTTTGTAAAAAATGATGCAAACATATGCTGACATATGTGGGTTACAATTTTTTTCTTGATTTTTGTATATTTTTTGACATTGTTTGAATTATTTTTTATGCAAACAATAATGTTGAAAATGATGCAAACATTATTTTTTATGCAAACATATGCTGAAAATGATGCAAATAATAATGCAAACATTGTTTGAATTATCTTTTGGCAACTTGTGAATATTTGTTATGATATGTTTTGTATATGTTTTTGTGATTTTTTTTGAATAATCCGAATTTTAATTTGTTGCATTATCCTATTTTATTTTTTTTAGATAGGATATCGGTGGTGTTTTTTATATTTCCTTGAATAATAAAAATTTCATTTTTTTATTTATTATTAACATGTATACTTAATATTATCCTATTTTATTTATCTTTAAATTCTCATTGGTATTGGTGATCTTTTTATGTTTTTTCGAATAATCCAAATTTTAATTTGTTGCATTATCCTATTTTATTTTTTTAAAAAGGATATTGGTGGTGTTTTTTATATTTTATTGAATAAACAAAATTTCATATTTTGATTTTTTATTAACATGTATACTTCATATTATCCTATTTTATTTTTCTTTAAATTCTTATTGGTATTGGTGATCTTTTTGTATTTTTTTTGAATAATCCGAATTTTAATTTGTTGCACTATTCTATTTTACTTTTTTAAAATGATATTGTTGGTGTTTTTTATATATTCTTGAATGATCAAAATTTCATTTTTTATTTATTATTAACATATATACATAATATTGTACTATTTTATTTTTCTTTAAATTCTCATTGGTATTGGTGATCTTTTTTGTGATTTTTTTGAATAATCCGAATTTTAGTTTGCTGCATTATCTTATTTTATTTTTTAAAAAGGATATTGGTGGTGTTCCTTATATTTTCTTGAATTATCAAAATTTCATTATTTATTTATTTATTATTAACATGTATACTTAACATTATCCTATTTTATTTTTCTTTAAATTCTCATTGGTATTGTTGATCTTTTTTGTACTTTCTGGAAGTATGTTGTGAAAATTGCACCTTAAAAGCATTGGAAGTATTTTGTGAAAATTGCGCTTTGAAAATGCTTTTTGAAAGTATTATGTGAAAATTGCACCTTAAAAGTACTTTATAGAAGTATTTTGTGAAAATTGTGCCTTTAAAGTGCTTTCTGAAAATACTATTCAATATTTGTTAAATTATTATTAAGGTAAATCTCTCAAACTACCCCTACTATTCACGAAATTGACATATTGTACCCTTACTGTTTATCTATTGTCTTAAGCTACCTTAAGTTTTCTGACAATTGTCTAAAACCTCCCTTGTTGTTAATTTCCGTCACACTCTATTCACTTGTGACATCACGTGAGTGATAATTATTTTAAAATTCCTAAAATACCCTTATTGTTCACCGCCGCCGTTGGAAATTATAGCGGTGGCGGTGATTTTGATATCGTCATTGCAGACGACGGCAGCCATTACAACTTCCGAACAACAAAAGTTTGGTGAAAAGAAGGTGAAGAAGGTCGAAGGAACATCTAGTCCCGGTATCGGCCACTGGTTTCTTGGGTAAGAAAACATTCGCACATTGCCCTGGGGTATAGTTACCGAAGCAATTGGTTGCACTGACGTTCGTGATCCGATGGAATATAGTATCGACGACCCTTATTCTTTTAGGGATAAGGATATTCATGCTCCTAAGGATGTCGGAGGAAGAGCTGATGATTGGAGACGATGTGGTTCATGGGGCGTTTTATTGTGTTCTCCTCCAAAGGCAGCAGCTGATGTATTGGCATCTTATCTCTACCAGCACCCCCACCAATCTGGAATAATTGATGTTGTTGTGCTTGTTGTTGCTGTTGGGGGCTTAAAGACAGTAGACTGAATACTTGTAGCAAAGCCAGATTAGAACCACTGAACTCCCCGACGACATTCATGGGCTGATTCAACGATTGAAGTGTTGTTAACTAAGACAGAAACCTCCACCTGAATAGTAAATAGAAGGTGGGTTGGGTGCTACTGGAGGGATGGGAGAAGGTGGGATCATCAAATCTACTTCTTTGGTCCTCAGAGTAGGATTACCACCACCACTAGTGGTTATGACTGTAGAGATGGAGGTTGTGGATGATGCTATGATAGCTGGGGAACTGATGGCAGCTGGTTCTGTAGATTATCAGCGTTATAGGATTTTTTTGATCGCTTTTCCTTCCTACAACCACCGCCCACGGGGACGTTCCGTAGGGTTCCCCCTTGAGTCCAGTTGCTGGTATGTAAATTTTGGACCCAAGAAGTAAAATAAATAGGGCCCAATATGAGATTGAATGAAAAAGACCTATTGGGCCCACTAAGAGGAGAGAACGGCCAGGATTGAATGGGTTGGCGCCTCAGCCCAACAGCTAGTGAAATCAAATGAGGGCATGTTGGGCCCACTAAAGATGAAAGGCTTCTTGGTAAGACCCAAAGTATTAGCCCAATTAGCCCAAGAAAACATTGGCGGGTCTAATAGAAAATTTCATTGATGCAAAGAAAAGGAGTTTCCTTTTGAATTCAAATCTGTCATCGGTTGATAGATGGGCTGAATCTTAAATTAGGATATATGGAATCCCATTTAAAAGGCAACTGAGGCATAATTGGTCAACCAATTAAGGAAGTCTTGGTTGGCCAATGCACTAAATGATGCATGGGCCCAATCCCTTTGCCAAGTGGTGCTTGACCCCAAGTGTTAGGAGAAATCCAATATGGAAACCCGAGATCTATCACGAATTGTGAATTTAGTGGGGCCCATTTGAATAATAATCAACTTAAGGGCATCACAATTAAAAAGAGAAGAAAAAGGAAATGTTGGTTGGTTATTTAGACCGACCACATGTGGGCTAGTTTCTTGCCAAATGGCTTTCAATCATAACTGATCATGATCCAATCAATCTAATGGGCCTCATTGGGATGATAATTGTCACTTGCAATAAAAAAGAAATTCATAATTGCTGTTGGGTTTTTTCCATTAATGAAAGAATTTTGGATGTGAGGTTGGGCGGGCTCTTCAAGTAAGGCCATCCATTATAAAAAGGAGAGGAGAGCAGTAAGATGAGCTCTCTCTAAAAAGGTGATCGGGACAAGCTTATCTGATAGAAAAAAAAAATAAAAAAAAAGGAGAAGGAATTTCAACGCTTACATGTTGCCACTTTCAAGCATTTCGTTAGAAATGAAGTTTTAAGATCAGTAGTGCTAGCCGCATGCATGTTGGGAAGCGTGCCCAACTAAAGAGATTTTTCTCCCCTTTGGCTCCCCTTTCGGCTACCCAATTCTTCTCCTTTACTTTCATTGCTTTTGACAAAGAAGAAGAGACGAGCTGCATTCCGCTCAATAATCTTCGAACCAGCTCACGAGTAGGGGTGTCAATGAACCGATTTTGGGTTGGACTTCATCCAAATTAAAATTCATTTGTACGGATTAGACAGACCAATAAGACATTAAATTTGGGTGAACTGGATGGACCAATATGACATATTGAATTGTGCCAATATCTGATCTATTAATAAAAGATAAAAACATAAGTGTCAATGGACCAGATTTGAGTTGAACTCTATCTAAATTAATAGGAATTTGAACAGATTGAACAGTCTCTGAACCGGTCCAAAATGATCCAAAATATTCATTAGACTGGATAGGATCAGGTCCATTTGTAATGAACTCACATTGGACTGGACCGGATTGGACCAAATCCAGTCCAACTGACACCCCTACTCACGAGTTAGCTCCGCTCTCTTACAGCCCTACTTCTAGTTAATCATCTTTGACAAAGCATAAATAAAAATTTATGATTGCAACATTAAACAGTGATACCAACTCCAAATTCGGTACATAAATCATAGACAAAGCAAACCAATCCCGTCCGGATGAAGCCAAAAATCTGATTCCCCCTTTGTTTCAGGTGGGACACAAGCAACTCTAGTCATTCAAAACATCTGACAAGTGTTCGATGGATTGCGTCAACAATGGAGACAAGTTACGGAACCCTTTCGGACTTTGGGTATGATTAAATGGAGATTGAGTGAAAGCTAAGGTGACCATGTTTGGACTATTAGCACTAATTATGATTAATGAGTCTTTTAACTCTTTATAAATTACAAATACAAATCGCAAATCAATCTCCATTGTCCACACAATGAATTGTGAATGCCAAAGGAAGCTAGCTAGGATGACGTTCGGTGATCATGACTCGAGCCCATAAAATGGGTGAACGATATGACACTGAGAGGTTGATACATATATATATTGAGCTGCTCTGACGCGTTTCAAACACCAATACCCCAACAGACAAACTTCTTTTTCTTCTTAAATCCTCTGTCTCCAAGCGAAATCGTTGTTCTTAACAAGACAGAAACACAACACATTTGCTGCATGAACTGGAGGAGCCTTTTTGTTTTCTTTCTTACAGTATGACTCATATCAGAAAGATTATGCGGTCCAAGTTGAGATCATCTCTTACGACCGCAGTAGGTGAGAGCCTGTTAATTAAAACCTTCTTGTTTCCGTGTTTTGATGATTAATTGTCTTCTTTATTTCATCTTCTTGTTTTTCTTCTTCCAATCAAATTACTATCTCTCAGGGTTTATTAGATTTGATACTGCTTTTATTTAGGTTATGTTTGGTTTGAAAGAAAAGGTAGGGAAATCAATACAAGGTTTGTAAAGGTTTTTCTACCTTTTCATTCCTTTCCCTACTTTTTTCCTTCAAACCAAACACTGCTTTAGGGATAAAGAGGGATGGAATTGAGAATTTATTTATAGAAATTGGAATATATCCTTATTTTCAACTTTAGGGTATATTTGGCTCATAATTGAAATTAGAATCAGAACCAGAATCAAATTCTATTGGAATCGGAATTGGAATGGTCGATTCCCATAATTTATTTGGTTCAGAGAAGAATTAGAATAGGAGTTGAAATTGGTTTCGGATGGGATTTCATTCCCAAGGGATGGGGGGAGGGAATATCCATTCCTTCAAATGAGAGAATACCATTCCATCAGAAATGGGAATGGGATTTCAATTCCATCCAATATACCAAACAGTTGGGTCATTTTGACTGTAATTCCAGACCCCGACTCCCATAATCCAAACAGATTCTTAGTTCAAGTGAGATTAGGAATAGGAATTAGGATCAGAATGAGATCTCATGTCCAAGGGAGGAGGAGGAAATGGCCTTTTCCTCAAATGGAAAAATGCCATTCCACCAAAAATACTAGTGAGATTCCAATCCCACTCAACCAAACAGTACATTGGACCATTTAGATTCCAATTCCAAGACTCTTATTCTCACGAACCAAACAGACCCTTTAATGAAATAGAAGAGAAATTCTAATGACTTAGGGTGTCGCATGTCTGCTCCTTTTTCTTTCAGGCGGTGGATCTCCAAAGCAGCAGGAGATGAGTAACGTGGGAAGCAAGTTAAACGTGAACGAAGAATACATGGAAGCCTTCAGAACAAAGTCTTACGTAGAAATATGGAGTAAAGCTCAAGGCCAGATGAGAAGAAAAGACGAAGACAGGTCCTCCTCCTCCTCTTTGCCGTCCCTCCCTTCCTCCCCACGTCTCTCCGATTTCTTGCTCGAACCTCGCCAAGATATTCTAGTCGAAATGATAAAAAACTCCGACCAGCATCGTCTTCTCACCGACTACTTCGACGGTAGCTTAGAAGCATGCAGAATATGCGACTTCCTCCTGAAAAGCATCGACCAAACACGAGCCAATTATCGCATAATCCGAAGGATCATCAGCCTAACCAAAAGGCTACCGGACTCCTGTGATTACACCGACGATCAATGCAGACTTATATTCCGTGATCTCGATTCTTTCGCGAAGCTCAACAACCCACTTTCGGCCGGTTCTAGCCCAGTCGAATTCCGTCTGGTTCATGACAGATACGGGTCGATGCTCAATCAACTAAGAAAAACACGAAAAAGGATAAACAAGAGAGAAAAACTGATTGGATTAAGCAAGAAGGCTGCCGGTCTGGGCCTCATCGTTGCTTGCGGTGCAGTCTCAGTAATCACACTGGTTCTGGTGGTTCACACGTTGGTGGGCATCATAGCGACCCCTGCGCTACTCGCTTTCTCTGTGAATGCCACGAAGAAGAAGATCAAGTCCGCCCGAGTTGGGCTTAAGACAAGCATGCTAGCCAGGCTCGGCGCACAGCTTGATGCGGCGGCCAAAGGGGTTTACATACTGAATAGGGATTTTGACACCATCAGTGGGCTTATGGTGAGGTTGCAGGATGAGATAGAGCACGGAAGGGTGATAGCTGGGATGGTTGTGAAGAACCAGACGAGGCGGATATTGAAGGAGGTGGTGAGAGAGTTTCAAACCCATGAGTCTTGCTTTCTGGAGCAGCTTGGAGAGCTTGAAGAACATGTTTACCTGTGTTTCCTCACCATCAACAGAGCTAGAAGTCTTGTTGTACAAGAAATAATTAATGGCGCACCAGACCCACCCAAAAACACTAGAAGATTCAAATTGAATAATATCAGAAGCTAAGCTAGGTATTATTGTGATAGAGAATAGATACTGGCAATCAAAGCTTCAAGCTTTACAGAATGAGTTTTCCTTAGTGCATCTAAACAAAATGTTTTTTTTATTCATTTACTAAAATATCCCCTATAATTTCATGAATTTATTAAAACCTAGCCCTTTGTGTTTTAACAAAACACCCCTTATACTTTGCAATCAGTCTACTTAATCAACAATTATGGTGGGAAATGATAGTTTTGACCCTAAGTCCATTTAAACAAATTAGTCAAATAAAAATAAAATGGTGCCCCTAATAAGACATGGATAATAACCACTCTATTTGGCTCTATTTTGTCAATTTTGTTTTCTATATGAAGAAGTGTTGGGGTAATTTTGAAATAAATAATCATAGGCGCATGCCCTTGAACATTTTCCACTCAGGTTAGATGACCATATTACAATTTTCAGATGGTAAAACAAACAGTTCGTAGAGAAATGTCAATCAAGTAAATAGGTTGCAAATTATATGGGGTATTTTAATAAAATGAAAAAGATAAATTTAAATAAATACTTGAAACTATAGGGGTGTTCTAGTTAATGGCCCCTTTTTTTCCTTGAATTTGAACATATTGACTGTTTTTTTAAAACACAATATGATCGGATAATGAGGCATTAGTGCCGAGCAATCTAAACCGCTTGATTAATCAACTTAATTACCAAAAAATAATTAAAATTAAGCCAATAATGAGATTTCATATGCTGCTAGAAATAGCTTTGCTAAGGATGATTAATAATTTAATATATATTGGTGTTAACACAAATTTCGTGCAGAATTTGGAGCACAAAAAAATAATGCGGGCAAATTCAAAGAAATTTATTTATTTTTTTGCATAAATTTAAATGGGATACAAATTCTTTTTTTCTTGACAAAGAAAACCCTCTAATTCTCATGTCTTAGGCAAAAGCCGAAACCGCGACTAGAACTTGCAATTATGAGAAGCAAGTAACGCCCAACCTTGTATTAACGAAGTCTTTTGGAATTGATGAAAGTCTTTTGAATCACAGGAATTTAAAGATCGGAATTTCACGAGTTGATGTTGTAGCAATTTTGATGCCTCGACAATTGAAGAGTTGGAGCCTTTCTTCTTTCTGCCTTAATATTATTGCATCCCGTTTCTTCTCCTTCTTTTTCAAAAGCAAAGGAAACGATCGAAGACAGACGAAAACGGTCTGAGATGGTGGTTGAAAGGGGGCCGCCGAATTGGAGAAAGACCATCCCCTTTTATAGCGAAAAGTACACCCAATTCAGTTCTGAATCAAGCAATTAATTTGTGGGGACCCACATGATTGGCTTTAAATGGTTGTTGGCAAGATTTCATCCATCAATTTTGGTGTAATCCATTCAAGATTGATCGGCGAAACTTGCTAAAGTGGCTAATTAGGAATAACTTGACCCCAAGATTTTATTAGTTCGGTTAAGATATCCCTCTTCATATCCATTAGCCAGCCATCTTACTTTTTTTCTATAGATTCTCATTTAAGTTTGATTTCGATTTAATTGGGCCTTACTGAGTTTTTAATTCATTTGGCCAAAAGTAATCTCCAAATTTGGTTGATCAATCAGGCCTCCTTAATGTGCTTATTTCCTTTTAGATGGGATTCTCTGTAATCCCAATCCAAGATTTGGCCAATCTGTTTACTGAATGACATATTTAAATTTAGGGTTTTCCCCCTTCTTTTGATATCATTCCAAAGAATGTTTGCAACTTAAGCCCATGATCCATACAGTTCTACTGTTTCCTTGGGCTAATGGACAAATGTATTGGATCCCACCTTAACTCTTTTTTAGCGGGCTCATTTTCTAATTAGATTTCACATTGGGTTCCATCCAACATCTTTTTTGGGCCCAAATTTTGTTATTCTTTTCTTAGTGGGCCAATAGCTCCTTTGGGCCTTATTTATTTCACTTCTTGGGCCAAAAATTTACATATCAACAAATGCCCCCCAATTTGGTGGTTGTTATTGTAATTGGCAATGCAACCACCGACTTGCAAAGTTTACGCTCTTGGAGGATTTTCTGTAGTCTAAACCTGTGTGGAGAATGAATTTTTTTTTCTTTAATTTGATTTGGTTTGGTCGTTTGCAGTTTATACTCATGCGGGCCAGGAGTTATACAAATGATTTATTTTGTGACTACACCTTTTCAGGTTGCCTACATACCCCTTAGAGGGATCAAGTCGTGATGTAGTTCATAAAGTAGTTTGTGACTTGGGGCTCTATAGATAGTTTAAGCACTTATCTAGGAGCACTTAGTGGATAGTTTAGACTTGTGCCTAGGAGTACAATCTGAGTTATTTTGGAAGTTGAATAGTTTATACTCATACTCAGGAGTCTTGTATACAGTTTATGCCCGTATCTAGGAGCAAACTTTGAATTGTTTATGAAGTCAAGTAGTTTATACTCATACTCGAGAGTCTTTTAGATAGTTTATGCTTGTATCCAGGAGCAAACTTTGAATTGTTTATGAAGTCAAGTAGTTTATACTCATACTCGGGAGTCTTGTAGATAGTGTATGCTCGTATTTGGGAGCAAACTTTGAATAAAGCAGTGTAGATAGTTTAAGTTCATATCTAGGAGCGAACTTTGAGTAAAGCAGTTTAGGAAGTCGCGTAGTTTATACTCATACTAGGGAGTCTCGTAGATAGTTTAAGCTCATATCCAGGAGCATACTTTGAGTAAAACAGTTTAGGAAGTTAAGTAGTTTATACTCATACTCGGAAGTCTCGTAAAGAGTTTAAGCTCATATCTAGGGGCATAGATAGTTTAGGCTCATATCCAGGAGCGAACTTTGAGTGTTACCTTTTTTTATTAGATAGTTAAAGCTCATATCTAGGAGCATAGATAGTTTTGGCTCATATCTAGAAGCGAACTTTGAGTTGATTTGATTTATTTTCTTTCTACGTAACATGTGACAGTATGCACAACGACACATCCTCTGGAGAAGAATCCCGTTTGTATGTACTCTTGTAGAGTAATTGGAAGTCGAGGGACTTGTTTCAAAACTTCATTAGTTGCCACTTGTGGGGCTGGCCAACAGTGTTCTAGCCTTGTCTTTTCTTGCTTTTGGGGAGTCTTTGTGATTGAACATTCCTTTTAATTTGCTTTGATTGTCCACAAGGTGGAGTGGATTGGTGTATTGCATGACACTCTCGACGTGTAATGACGGTCCAATCATCTTTTGAGAGTGATGTGGTAGACCGGGGTAAAGGAATTTCCTTGGAACTTAAGGCATGTGCTTGTGCTCGATTTAGTACTGCCCCTCACATATGGCCACGAGTAAAAGGGTCAGTAGGGATTTTGGTTTGATTTAGTGATGCCCCCGGTGTAAGTTCATGGATGATGGGACAATGAGGGCATTGGAGAGCTTTAGGTTCAAAGGATCTGAATGCAACAGTTGTCATCTAGATGGTAGCTATGTCCTCACTTGGATCTAGTTTGATCATTCCTGACTCGGCCAACTGCATTATCTTATCTTTGAGGACAAAACATTTCTCAACTGGGTGGCTAATTACCCGATGGTAACAACAGTACTTCAGATAATCAATTTTCCCTTCCTCTTCTGGTCGTTTACTATTAGGAAGCTCTATAAGCTTTTCGACTAGAAGGGAATCCAACATTTCTGGGACGTCTGAGTCAGGGAATGGATACACCTTCGCTGAGTCAGGGAAAGTCAGGGAATGGATACACCTTCGCTTCCTCCTTAAGAGTGAGTTTTGGATTTTCTTTTTCTTGTTGAGTATTTGATTTTATTTCATTTTTGCTTTTCTTCTTCCCAGTAACCTTGAGAGGGGCTATTGAGGTTGCTAGAACTTGCATCAGCCTAGATGATTTTGTCTCATTTTCACCATCTTTCTTTTCCCTTCGAAAATTGTTTCAGCGATATTCTCTAAAGATAGCCAAGTTAAGTTCCATGTCATGGGCGCGGGTAGCCAATTCCTCAAATGTTCGTGGTTTTATTCCCTTGAGGATGTAATGCAAACTCCAATGCATGCCTTGAATACAAGTATCAATAGCTGAAGCTTTTGAGAGCTTGTCTCGATAGTTAAGGTAGAGATTTCTCCACCTGTCAATGTAGTCAACAACTGGTTCATCATTCTTTTTCTTTGTGGTGGTGAATTCATACATGCTTATAGTACGTCGAGTACTGTAAAAGTGATCCAAGAACTCTCTTTCTAATTGATCCCAACTATCGATTGATCTAAAAGGGAGGTCAGTGTACCAGTCAAAAGCATTTCCTCGTAGAGATCGTACAAATTGCTTTACCATCAAATCACCATAGGTCCCAGTATTGTTGCATGTCTCAAAGAAGTGCGCAATATGTTGCCTAGGGTTACCTTTCCCATCAAATAGTTGAAACTTCGGGGGCTGGTACCCTAACAACATAGGCATATGATCAATGTGCTCAGTGTATGGCTTAGGATACATCGGGATGACTATGGAACACCCCCATACTGAGCACATATTGTGTTAGCTATCATGTTTTGGAGTTGTTTTACTGAGAGGGAGGCAACCGAAGCATGTTGGGCGTCTTGTATGTTAGTACGTTCCGACAACTCCTCTCAGGGAGGGTCTACTTGTGGGGTAAACCCTGGTAGGTGTGAAGGCCCCTGCCTGGATGCCGTTGTTTGCATTTGTTCCATCTGATTCATGAGAGAAGCAATCTGAAGGTCCTTCTCTTCCAATGTCTTTGTCAACTTAAAGATGGCCGAAGCCATCTCAGTGAGTTGTTCTTCTACCGTAGTAGCTCCCGCCATCATGACGGGTGCTACCGAGGTGTAGGAGCGAGTCTGCATGTAATCAGACCCTCTAGTCTTGGGAGAGTTGGGACGAGAGTCGGACTTTGACCCGGTGCTCGATCCCACGTCGGACATGGGCATTCCTCCACTTGGATACTCAAGTGGATTTGTTGTGATGAACCCTTTTGTTGGGGCTACCCTCTTCATATTAACGTCCCTTGCCATTGACAACCTTGAAGGTCCCTTTTTGGCATCTCAGACTTTTGAAGGGACCCCTTGAGTTCCATAGAAGGCGAGAAGTGCAACTAGT